TCCCTTGTGCGTGGCTCCTCCCTGTCGCAGCGCTGGACTTGGGCGTTGCCTGTGGGGGGCGACAACTGGGGGGAGAGAAGCGTGCACCTCTCGTGTCCCTTTTGGGCCCAAAGGGGCTCTTTCAGGGCCTCTCTGGGGCACAAGAGGTACACCTTTCTTCACCTTCCCCGTTGATCCCCCACACCACACTACGCAACGCCCGATAGACGTCCTTTGGCCAAACCGGGTTTACTATACCTCATCAGAGAATGAAACTTTAGAACTGCCAGCATTTGCACGAATGGAGAGCTGGACGTTTTCAAATGTGGCTATTGACTTCGTTCACACGCATTCGTCGTGAAAGCCCAGAGTACGTACACGGTTGGATGGCGGGTCGTTTACATGCTTAGAGCCGCGCGAATCTGGCTTGTAAGATCCAACAAATCAACGCACGGAGGCCCGTTTGTTTTCCACATGTTGTTCTCGTCTGAGCGCGGTACTCCGTCACATGAATAGTTTGCTTTGTGAACCGCCAACGTGCCTCCTGGCCGTAGCCTTCTGAGGCCGAACGCCCCCCAGCCCCCGACGAAGTCTCTGACGCGCACCACCACCACCACCATCCCTCCCGAGGCTCCCTGGGCGCCCCGGCGCCTACCACCTGGCGCTCTCCTAGGCGTCCAGGATGCTCAAGATGGCTCCCAAGACGGCTCAGGCACGCCACCAAGGCCGCAACCGTTGTCCGAGACGCCCCCACGATGCCACCACGGGGCCCCAGACAGGCCCAGAATGGCCTCAGGCCCGTCCAGCAGGCCTGGCAAGATTCCGTCTCCCTTCGTCCGAATACCATCTCGTCCGCTTCAATTCATCCGCGCCGATTCGTCCGCTTCGATTCGTCCGGTTTGAATTCGTCCGGGTTTCGCTTCGCCTGGGCTGCAAATCGTCCGCGCTTTGAATCCGTCCGGCTTCAATTCGTCCAGTCGCGCGCGCCCGTTTGCATGTTCCTGGGCGGGGTGGGCATAATCAGGCCCCAGCGTGGATGAGTTGGCTACTGGGGGACGCTGCATTCCCCCCTGAGCCTAATTATCCTTCCTGACGTTGCCCCTGTTCTTGATTAGGAAAACAAAGCACGGCACAAAAACATGTCTTGGAGGTCGGCGCGGATTTCTTGGATAGGCGCTGGCGCCGGAGGCGCCGCCAGGGGGGCCCAGCGCCGATGCAAGAACTCCGCGCGGACTTCAGAGAAATGATATTCACGGAGTTGGTTCTTCCATTACGAGCAGCCCCCGGCGGTGATCGGCGAGCTCGCCTCGCTGATGCCGAGCGCCCCTCAGAGGGGCTCGACCCCGCGCGCGCGATGCGCGGGGTACCCTCGCGATCTCGCCGCGCCCTCTCTGGAGAAGAACGACTGGATCTGGCCCCGATCGCGCCTCCCGCCGCGTCCGTGTCGCGACGACCCCAGGATCAGTCAGCATGCATTGACTCAGGAAATCTCATCGAATCGAGGCGTAGGTCGGATCGGGCCGCATCGGCACGGAGTCGAAATCGATTCGAATCGGTCGCGCCAGGTTCGGGGAGACGTAAGACTCGTGTACTGGGGACTCGGGTTGGCCTGACGGGGTCATCATGAAAGTGACGAGGCCCAATCGGAAACTTGACGCGAGCTCCCGCTGCAAAAAAATCCACCGAAAATCGGACCGTCAAGATCCAGGACGCGCACGTCACAAAACGTCGGCAAACCCGAGTCTTGCGTTTCCCCGAGAGGCTCATACCGACGCCATGCAAATATCGGGCCGCATCGGATCCTCGGAACGTTGGAATCGAGTCGAATCGGGCCAGCCAGCACCGAGATCGAGCCGGATCGGTCGGATCGAGATGGACCCTCTGCGACCCTGGCGTTGGCTTCCGACGCTGCTGACCATCTGTTAACCGACCCCCAGCCCATGGGCGCAGCCTCGGCCCCACTGGCCGATTTACCACCCTGGAATGGGGACATGGGCCGATGATTTGGGGCTTCGAGGTGTGTATCCCGAACCTGGGTGGTGGGATGGTGAGGGTCTGGATGGGAATGGGGATGGGGACAGGGATCGGTTCAACGATACTGAGCTGAAGTGATCGTTCCATCGACTCCGAGAAATGTGGTCTGTTAAGGGTGTGGTCTGTAACTGGCACCCTGGGGGACACCTAGGGGGCGGGCGGCGACCTCGATCGAGATCTCCGCCGGGCCCCGAGGTCCGACGAGGACAGTGTCGCACCCCCCAGGCCCCACCTGTGCCGATCTCTAACCATACCCCGGCCTAACCACATCCTCGAGGAGGCTCGACGAGGACAGTGTCGCACCCCCCAGGCCCCACCTGTGCCGATCTCTAACCATACCCCGGCCTAACCACACCCTCGAGGAGGCTCGACGAGACAGTGTCGCACCCCCCAGGCCCCACCTGTGCCGATCGCTAACCGCACCCCGGCGTGACCACATCCTCGAAGAGGCTCGACGAGACAGTGTCGCATCCCCCAGGCCCCACCTGTGCCGATCGCTAATCCTACCCCGGCGTAGCCACACCCCCTTGTGGTCGCCGAGAGACAGCGCGGATCGCGCGACATCGGCCGCTTCCGGGCAGCTTGCGGGCTTCAGCCAGGAACGCTCGCACGCGGGGGCTGCCGCCGCGTCGACGCCGCACGAGCCCCTACCGTAGGGATCCGGGGATCCAGCGCGGGGGCGCCAGATCCACGGATCGGGGACTGCGGGGGCAGCGAGCGACCACGACCACATCGAGGACGCACCCTGGGGCATGCCTTGCGCATGCCAACCCGTCGTCCAGGCACCGCAACCAACTTCGTACTGGCTGTGGTCGCCGTGGCGTCCCGGGACGGTCTATAGGAGGAGGAGGAGGAGGAGGAGGAGGAGGAGGAGGAGGAGGAGGAGGAGGAGGAGGGGAGGAGGAGGAGGAGGAGGAGGAACACCGAAACCAACTTCGTACTGGCTGTGGTCGGTGTGGCATCCCGGGACGGCCTAGTCGACCACAAGCACAACCAAGGTGTGCCCACCTCCCGACAAAAAAAACACGCAGTTGTGGTTATGCTTCTGTGCCGTGCCCGGAGATTTGGTGGCCACCGAGAGCGCGGATGCTGCACGGAACCTTGACCCGCCGCAGATCCACGCGCCATACAGTAGGGGCTGAACCACAGGAAACCTTCCACAAGAAACCCAGCACTGGAAACCCAGGACGTCCGTTGGTTTCTGGCGTGGGGACGTCACGCTTTCCATAGCAAAACCATCGAAACCCAAGAAGCCCAGGGCACCCTGGAGGCAAGCAGGGTCTTTCTTGGCATCCCCACTGTCAGCCATGCTTGCTGGAGCTCAAAAGATGATATGCGCCGCCCCCGTGGGCGAAATGTGCGCGAGACTGGAGCGCCGAACGAAGCCGCGGTATTTTGGGGGTCCACAGCGATCGGCACCGAAAGGTCTGGGCCAGGGCTGAACCTAAACGGTGATTTTCGTTTTCAGATGGTTTCGTTTTCCCTCATTTTGTCTTCAGTCCGCCTTTGCTGCAAAACGAAATCGAAACAAAAACGGCCCACGAAATCGCCAAAGCACCGTTTAGGTCCAACCCTGGTCTGGGCCCATTCCCCAGGAGCCGGCCCGCATCCCGAGTCGTGTCGTAACGGCCCCGGGGCCTGGCGAGAGCCCCTCCCGGGGCCGCGAGCGGCCAAGGCTCTTCCGTCCAGATTTCTGGTCACGACGCGGGGGGATGCCTGGGCGAGGCAAGAGATCATGCTGGAGCGGGGTGAGGGTGGGCGGGGCCTCGAACTCATCCTTCATCTGCGTGAGGATGCCGAAGATGGTGTCTGACTGGGGTGGCAAGGCGGTGGGGAGAGAGCCAGTCACTGCAGCAAGACGGCTAGTGAACCCGCGGCTTGCAGAGGGACACGGGCAACGAGAAAGGGGAAGAAGAGAGAAATCAAGACACTCATTGGGATCTGGAGGCAAGTACTGGCAAACCTTCGTCGAGATGACTAAGGGAAACTGAGCCCCTTACGCCGGATCAGGCCGCGGCTTACGCGGGATAAAACCGGATTCAGCGGAAGGAAGCTGGATTAAGCTGGGTTCGACCAGATTTCGGACCAGGGCAAGGTCAGAATGTGACCTCCCAAAAATTGCATCCTGACGCTCACACTTACACAAGTAGAGACGAAGAGGAGAGGATCCATATGTTCTCCTACGCACCTCTCCAAATGAGTAGAACTCGGAGGCGATGAATCTTGAAACCGTGTTTCCTATGTGTGGCCGTTCCGCTCGGGAAATCTTCAACATTCTGAAAAACAGACGCGCTCCTCACGCAGATCGCGACGTCACGGTCCAACAACACAGTGATTGTCAACCTGTTAGCACTAAGCCGTCAACACACAATGTGTTTCAATCATGTTGGAAGACATTCTCTCAGAAAAGTCAGCCGTCTCGCGTGAGAGATCCTCCCAAAGCTGCAGCCCGACGTGTTCAAAACTGCCCTCACATTCTTCAAAACGAGAGTTTAGCTCGGAAAATCCTCCACACATTGGCTCTCGAATTCCCTTCCAACTGCAATGACACGGTGTGGAGCATCCTCCTGCCCCACTCACACATCGCAAGGCGTGGCAACCCCACTTGCGCTCGAGTGCGATCCCGCTGGTGCACCTCCTTCCCAACAGCCCGTTGGTGATCCTCATGATCCTTCTTCTCTCCGTTTTGCTCTGGTTCTCCATATCCTTTCTCCTCCCCCTCCTCCTCCTCCTCCTCGGATCCGTTTCCATTCCCATCCCAAAGCAGCCTGCGACGCTGACGTGCTGCAGTCCTTTCATATGAGCCTGGGTACGCATGTGCCGCTTCGGCAAGTATATATAAACGGGAGGAACGATAGTTTTGACCAGACTACGTCAGGCTTTGGACACCCGGGACTTATAATCTGAGCGATCACTTTTTAATCGGGGAGCGGTGCGAATCCGATGGGCTCGCACCCCGTAGCAATGATATATAGCTATATGCATATAGATAAACGGTGTGCTGATTACTCCGTCCCTTAAGGACCAGGCGCGGACATCACTCCAACTTGGGCCCACTCACAGCTCAATCACTCCGCATGGGCCACTTGAGGTTGTCAGTGTCATCTTCGTCTTCGTCATTGTCATGCCGATGCCAACGCGATGCTCCGTTGTATTCGTTCTCGCTTTGACGCGGCGTGGTCCTGGGAATCCTTATCCAAAGCTGTCGCTCTTGCTTCGCTGGCCTGCCATCCCAGAGAGCTCCTGTTGCATCCTAGTCGGTCGACCGCGACACGCGGGACCAGCTATGAAGTCCCCGCCGGTCGTCAAAAAGTTTAGTACCTCGCAAGTGTGTCTAAATACATGGATTGCACAGACAGATGCTTCGCGCCTGAAGGTGCCCCCAGTGTGTATTCCCAAACAAGAGCTTGCCTCTGCAGTGGCCCTAGCGGATTCATATGGTTAGATTAGGTGCGCCGCCGATTTCGGCGGCACGCCCGGGTGAGCGAATGCCTGGGTGCCCGGGTGCCCAAATGCCCGGGTGTCCGGGTGCCCGTGCCCATGTGCCCGGGTGCCCAGATGCCCGGGTGCACGGTAGCCCTATAGCCCAATATCCCTATAGCCACACAGCCTTATAGCACTATGGCCCTATAGCCCTATAGCCCTGAGAAGATTATGATTTGGGCTTTTCTCCAGTACAATATACATATATGCAAAGATAAATGATTCGCGCCTGAAAATGCCCCCACCCCTCACATTTCCATCTGAATGTTCACTTCATCTCGGTTTCGTGGCCCCAGGAGCGTGGAGCGAGGAGTGAGCATGAGGAGGAGCGCGGAGGAACGGGGTGCCAGAGGGAGGAGAAGGACCGAGGGGGAGCGAGGAGCGAGGAGGAGCTAGGAGCGAGGAGCGAGGCGGAGCGAGAATGAGGAGGGAGGAGGAGCGAGGAGCGAGGAGAAGCGCTGAGGAGGAGGAGCAGAAGAAGGAGGTTCATCACATGGGTGCACGGCATGCCGAACGCCTGGCAAATTATTGTTTCTTGTTCTAAAGAACTCTCAGTGAGATCTCGGCACAAACCCACTGGCCTCCCGAAGAGCCGGTAGATTCCCCAACGTTGTCCTAGACGGCCTCCAAGACAGCCAAGATGGCCTCCAAGATGGCCTCCAAGACGGCCCAAAACTGCCCCCAAGACGACCAACATGGTCCAAGAGGGCCCAAGACGGTTCAAGGAGCGCCCAAGAGGCCCTAAGATGGCCCTGTCGAAAGCAACATGGCAAGCCGAACCATGTACTACGCCTTAACCGTTCCCATGGCCCAACCATGCTGGAAAAAAAACGGTATAGCTGAGAGATAGGGATGAGACGGAACATGTAAGAGAACGCATGTTAGTAGGAATGTTGTCCGTTCGTCGCAATCGAATAATAAACATGAAACTGCCTAAACATATACTGCGGCGCGCAACTTGAACCAAACGGCAACGGTTAGACGCTTGCTTTGCTCGCCGCTCAACTCCCTTCAAGGTGGCCGTAGAGGCCTCCAAGAGGACCTACAGGAAGGCCCTAAGAGGTCAGCATCAATGATTTTCCCACACAGTTTGAAGGCGTTGGCATTCGTTTCAAAACGGCCTTCCGACGGCTCAAGAGGCCCCCCAAATTGTCCCAAGATCGCCCAAGAGGGTTCCAAGATGGCCCCAGGACGGCTCAAGAGGCTCACAAGACAGCCCCCAAAGGGACCCAAGACGGCTCACGAGGCCTACAGGACGCTCAAGATAGCCTTGAACACGACCCTGAAGCGCCCCAAGACGGCTCAGAGAGCCTCCAAGACGGCTTCCGACGGACCAGGAAAGCTGTAACACAGCCAAATATGCCCCCAAGAAGCACCCAAATGCCCCCAAGAGGCCCAAGGAGGCCTCCACGAGGCCCACAAGAAGCTCCCAGGGGGCCCCAAGAATGACCCAATACGTAAGCTCCCAAGAGGTATCCTAGTCCTTCTCCTGATCCTCCTTGTTCCTCCCTCTCCTCATCCGCCTCTTCCTCCCGCACGTGTTCCCCGAAGGGCTTCAACAACGGCTGGGGGAACGCATGGTCCGATAGCGTGGCCAAACCAAACTTTGCCCAGACGTTTGGCCACGTAAGCACATGGGGCGGCGATGATTCGCCGTAGGCGTCTTCGATACAATGCTGCTGCTCTCCACAGACCTCTGCCAAAAACTTCGTTCTGGCTAGACCATCCAGGCCAAACCGGCCGTGGCGACGAGGGATGCGTGCAGGGGCATCGGTAGATAACTCCCTCCTTCGAACGACAGCGGTGACTCCGACGGCGGCGGCGGAGCTTGGCGGCGCGCACGAGAGAGCAATGACAGGGGGGGCGCCTTCTGAGACGGCTGGGGAGCTGGCGCATTCTCAGGAGCCCTCGCAGCTTCTGCAGTCGGGGCGCTGACATGAGGAACCCTGCGTAAGGAACGAGACCCCTCTTTCCCATAAAGTTAGACTTCGACCTCCCACGGAAAACTTCAGGACCACCTGAGGCAAACTGGCGAGGGTCCTTGCTCGCGTAGGCTGCCGGTAGGGCCCCGGGAGCCTGCATAGCGCTGCTATGCTGGCGTTTTCCTCCTCCTCCTCCTCCTCCTCCTCCTCCTCCTCCTCCTCCTCCTCCTCCTCCTCCTCCCCCTCTTCCTCCCTAATTCGGTGCTATGAGCGTTCGCGGGCGCGTTCTGCCATGCCCTGCTGCCCCGGGAGTCTCGCGAGTGAGAAAAAATACAATCAGGGAGCACCGAGCCCCTCCCCGACGAAGTGGGCTCCTTCTTCTGCAGCGCCCCGACTGCAAGGCGCCCCCCTCGAAGCCTCCGGGCCCTTCTGAGGATGCCCCTGCCTTCTGAGGGGCGCGCCGCCTGCGCAGAAGGCCCCCTCCCCCCCCCTCGCGGCGTCCGGTGGTGCGCTGCTGCAGATTTCGTAATAAAAGGGAGGGGGTCTGGGCCCTCCAAGACAAGCCATTTCAGACCCCCCCCCGTGGGAGAACCCTCCAAAACATCGTCCCCAGATCCCCCCAGGCCCTCCAAGATAGCTTGGAAAAGATCCCCCCCCGAAATGAGACCCCCTCCCTTTTGTTACGAAATCTGGAGTACCCGACCCCTGACCACACAACACGCACATGACTGCCCACGTTCAAGCGTGCACCGGCAGCCCTCTGCGGGCTGTACAGGGCGGGCGCTGCCGCGAGAACTCCTCGCGAGAAGCCCAACCCCGAAACCCGCAGGCGCGAGATGCAAGTGTTAGGTCGGGCTGGTCCCCCTACAGGGGGATTTTGGACGAAGAATGAAAATATTCAACATATACCCTAAAATACTCACAAATTTGTATAAAAAAAAGTCCCCCGACTATTTTTTGACTATTTTTGGATATTCCTCCTGTAGAGGGACAGGCCCGACTTAATGCAAGTGGGGGGGGGAAGGGGGCAAAACCACCCTGAACGCTCATTCAACGGCCACGGGAGGGCACCGCGCAGCGCGCGGAACGAAGAAGCCCAGAGTACCCTGACGAAAAGCAGTAAGTTTCTTGATGCGCGCCCCCACTACACGGTTCCAAGGGCTCCCAACTTCGTGCTTCGCGCTGCGCGAAGCGCGAAGTGCGAATAGCTTCGCGCTCTCGCGCCGCCTCCCAAGGGAAAAATGGAGAATGAGGAGGAATCGGAGCCGAACCGCGAAGCGCGAATAGCTTCGCGCCCTCGAGGGCGCCCTTGGGTTCATTCTGAGCCACCTCTACAGCGCAGAGCTGGGGGGGCTGGGGCTGGGAAGGGGCATGCCGCTGTTTGACAAACACCGTGCCCCGCTTCGTGGCTGCGACCTCCCAAACACGACCAGGAGGTTGGTTTCGGGGTCCCCTCTCGCGACACATCCTTGTGGGGGGGCTAGACGGTACCGATGCCGCTGCCCCACCGACTTCTCCCGGGGTGCGTTCTAGCCTTAGGTCAAGCCTCTCCTCCCACAAGCGGATTTTGGCCGAACCATAAAAAATACTTCCAACATTCGCCGGCCCAACGGGCCAGAGGCGTGCTAAGATCTCTGGTAACTGCTAAATAATACTTCTACTTCGCGCGCGCGGGGCGGCCCCTGGGGGTCCCCGGACGCAAAGTACCCCTGGCGATCCCCGGCAGGGTCGGGTCAGAGATGGTTTTCCTCCTGGGCGCCGCCCCCGTGGCCCTCCAGAGAGCCCCAAGAAGGGCCACGAGGCCGCCAAGAGCCCTCCAAGATGGTTCAAGAGTGCTCCGAGATGCCACACAATCGATCCAAGACGCCCAAGATGGCCCCCAGACGCCCCAAGAGGCCTGCAAGAGCACTGCCCAGAGGGCCCCAAGAGGCAAAATTCATTACTTGTCCTTAGGTGTTGGGCAGATTTTGGCGTGTCCATCTTTTCGGCTTCCCGACGCCCCAAGATGGCCCAAGAGGCCCCCAAGATCGCCCCAAGAGGGCCCAAGAAGCTCCCAAGAAGGCCCCAAGATGGCCCAAGAGGGCTCCAAGACGGCCCCAGAGGCATCCAAGACGGCTCAAGAGGGGCCCAAGAGGGCCCCAAGCGATGCCCCAAAGGGGAAACACAAAACAAAACTTCGAGCCCTCGGCCTTAAGAAGCCCCCAGGAGGCCTCAAGAGGCCCCTGAGAGGCCCCCAAAGCCCCCAAGAGGCCCTCAGGAGGCCCCCAAGCGACGCTGAAGAGGCCCCCGGGCGGCTCCAAGAGGCTCAGTCATGCGAAATGGGCCGGCGGAATGAGCGAAGCGATTCAATAAACCAACAATACCAAAAAATGAATAGAACATCGTCCCCACCTCTTCCCACGCTTGCCCTGCGAGCCTCGCCGAGGGAGACAACGACGTCGTCGCCGCGACGTCGCCGGCTGCCTCGATGGACGCCTCGCATGCCATCTTGCTGGCTCTTGCGCATCGACGCTGACCGGCGCTAATCGAAGCGAAGTCGAATCTGCATCCACGCTAACCGACGTCAACTCGGCGCTATCTCACCGATTGCTTACCAAACGCTAGTCGACGCTGAGGTACTCAAGACATCGGACTTCGGAAGGTACGGCTGGTCCGTGTCCTGACGACCCCGGCGTTGGTCTCTGACACCGCGTGGATCGTTCAGCCTGCACAACGCTCGGCGGCTATCCGATCGCCGCATCATTCCATGTTGACCGATCCTGGGCCAACGGCGGCGCTCAACCTCGAACGGCCCGCGCTGGGGCGGCAGCCGCGTCGACGCCACACGAACCTACCGTTAGGTTCGGCCTGTCCCCCATACAGGGGGACTTCGGACGAAACATGAAAAGTGGTTACAAAATACTCCAAGGAAGCCCAACAATACTCGAAACATAGTCCCCAGACTGTTCCTTGCCCAGTTTTGAATACTCCCCCTGTCGAGGGACAAGCCCGACTTAAACCTACCGTACCTTTTGCCCCCCTCTTGCCCTGTGCGCGCCGCCGAGGGAGCTGACGGCTTGCACGAGCCGTCGACCGGCCGCGTCGAAGAAATCTTGGTCGGCGGCGGCGGTCCTCCGCGAGGCGGGGGGATTTATGTCCATGTCACCCCGCCTTGGAAAACCGACGTCCTGGGACCTCAGCCTCAGCCAGCGGTGGTTCTGGACGTTCGGCGGCGAGTGAGGGAAGGGAAGTGGGAAGGAGGAGGCCTTTCAGAAGGCTTGGGGAAGTCGCCCGGCCGTCTGAACAGAATTCTGAGCCTTCCCCGAAGACGCAGAAACCTCCTCAGAAAGCGCGAGGACTTCCGAGAAGTCTGCCGCCGTCTGAGAAGGACTCCTCCTCCTCCTCACTTCCCCCCCTCGCTCGCCGCCGAAATACATCTATACATATATGTGTCACATATATCATATGTGTATAAAAAACACAATTTCTAGATATATACGTACATAAATATACACATACATATCCATACATACAATATATATATATATATACACACCTATATCTGGGCCCCAGGAGGGCCGACCATATCCATGTCCATCGCCAGCCGAGATCCCAGAAGACCGATCCCCCTGGGCGGCGGCTGCTTCGGAGGGCGCCCGCCTCGGAGGCCCGGAGGGCGACGACGCCGGCCACGACGCCGACGCCGACGCCGACGCAGACGTCGCCGCCCCGACGGCGGCGCGTCGGAGGCCCCCCCCCCCCGGCGGCCCCGCCGCGAGGCACCTGCGGCGAGTAGGAGCCGGCGGTGGGGAGCAGCCGCCCCGCGGAGGACTGCAGGAACACGCCGGTCTTGGCGTCGGCGCCGAGCTCCTGGAGCAGGGGCCGCTCGCCCCGGGGTTCCCAACAAGGGCTCCCAGCTTCGCGCTTCGCGCTGCGCGAAGCGCGAAGTGCGAATAACTTCGCGCTCTCGCGCCGCCTCCCAGGGGAGAAGAGGAGGATGAGGAATCGAAGCCGAACCGCGAAGCGCGAATAACTTCGCGCCCTCGAGGGCGCCCTTGCCCAGAGGCCCACCGCGCGGTGTTCTCGGAACCGAAGAGTGGTTTGAGAATCAGATAGCACAGTGCTCATCGAGCGTGCAGAACCGGTGGACGAGCACAAGGCAATTTCATCAGAGATGTTCCAACACATGTCGTGCAGACCGCGACATGTTGAGAACAGCCTGTCAGGGAGGACACGCCCGACTCAATCTTTGACGGCCCTGGGCGCCCAGGGGCAGGGGGCCAGGACCAAAGTTACCGAAAGCCTTGCGTCGCGATTCCCTTCACGGCGCCAGGCCGTGCGGCGTCGAACGATAGAGGCCTCCTGTCTGGGTTAGGAATCGGAGGTGAGGGGGTGAGATCGAAGTGGAACGGAGAGCCCCCCTACCGGGAAATCGATTTCGGTTTCGTGTTCGTGCGTGCCGTGCGTGCGGGCGAGGCGAAGCTGCGTGGGCGGGCGAGAAGAAAGTCTCCTGTGGCTGAGGCGCGGCCGGACCAAATGTCTCCCTTCCGGGCGGCCGGTGGCCCGCGGTGTCCCGCCGGTGTCCCGCGGTGTCCCGCGGTGTCCCGCGGTGCCCCGCGGTGTCCCGCCGGTGTCCCGCGGTGTCCCGCGATGATGATGATGATGATGATGATGATGATGATGATGATGATGATGATGATGATGATGATGATGATGATGATGATGAGATGATGATGATGATGATGATGATGATGATGATGCTGCTGATGATGCTGATGCTGATGTTGATGCTGATGATGATGATGATGATGATGGTGATGCTGATGATGATGCTGATGATGATGAGGACGATGATGATGATGATGATGATGATGATGATGATGATGATGATGATGATGATGATGATGATGATGATGATGATCGAGTGAGATCGAGTGTGAGATAGATCGAGTGAGATCGAGTGAGATCGATTGTGAGATCGATTGTGAGATCGATCGAGGGAGATCGATCGAGCGAGACCGATACTGAGATCGATAGTGAGATCGATAGTGAGACCGATCGAGTGAGACGTTGGTTCCTCCCCCCCCCCGAACCTCCTTATCACCCGAAGGGTGGTCGTATAGGTAGATGGGGTCGGGGGATCTCGCCGCATCGCCGATGCATCGTCGATGCATCGGCGTTGCGTCGGCCATGCACTGGCGACGTTGGCGATGCGTGGGCGACGCCTGCGTGGAGAACGCGGGGCCCCACGTCGAGGCACACCGTCGATGCATCGGCGATGCGGCGCGATCCTCCAACCCCATCCTGGTCATCGCTCGGACGTCCATTCCCTGTGTTTTTTTCCAGTCTCGTGCATGTTGTTTTCGCAGGATGATCCAGGATGCTCCTTAATATAAGCCCCGCCGAGACACACACACACACACACACACACACACACACACACACACACACACACACACACACACACACACACACACACACACACACACACACACACACACACGCACACACGCACACGCACACGCACACTCACACACACACACACACACACACACACACACACACACACACACACACACACACACACACACACACACACACACACACGTCCGAGCGATACCAAGTCCAACCCCATCTGCCCCAACCCCATGCAGGAGGCCTGCAAATTATGCCTCACATCTCCAAGGCCGTTCTCGCGACGAGCCGGGCACCCCCCCAGAACGCCATCGGCGAGGCGCAGAGGCTGTGGGACTAGGTCGGGCCTGTCCCCCTACAGGGGGAGTTGAGGCGTCGCATTGTATCTTTTAACTAAAAAGCCAGACAAAGCTCAAAGCATCGTTCCCAGACTTTTTCTCCTATTTTGGTGCATTCCTCCTGTAGAGGGGCAGGCCCGACTCAGCTGCAGGAAATCACTCCGAGGCGGGCGGGCCTCCAACATGCGATGGCAGCGCAGAGGTCGACAGCGCGCGCTGCCGCCACGACATGAACGTCGTCGCCCTCGTGCTCGTCGTCGTCGTGGCCTTCGCCTTCGCCGTCGCCGACGACGGCGACGTCGCCAGCGGCGGCGGCGTGCCAGCGGCGCCCGGGGGCCGCTCCCTGGCGCGGGCGGCGAGCTGCTTCTCGGCGAACTTGGTCGGGAGGGCCTCGTCGCCGCGGAGCCCCAGCGCCTGCCCGGGGGGTGGGAGGCGGGGGCGGCCCCCGAGAGGGGCCAACCGCGGAGGCGCCGCCACATTGCCCGACGACGCTCCGCGATCGTGGTCGCCGTCGCAGTCGCCCTCGCCGTCACTCGTCAACGTCGTCGTCGTCATCGTCGTCGTCAACGACGTCGTCGTCGTCTGGGCAGTCCCCAAGGGGGGGGCAGCCATGGACGCGCCGCGAAGTTGCCCGACGACGCTCCGTGCTTGAAGGAGGAATGCTTACCCGCGAGCAGGTACGCCGGAGCCCTCTTGGGCCCTCTTTCGAGCAGCTCCCAACAACAACCCTGCCGCAGACTCCCCATGAGCTGCGAGCAACGAGCCAGGGGGAGGGGGCAGTCCCCGTGGATGCGCAGGGATGTGCAGAATGACGGGTGAGCAGCAGCATGCGCACACTACCAGCGAAAAGAGATCGGGGGGCAACGGACGGCCCCTGTCTGCTTATTCCGACCGATCGACCGACCGTGCCACCCCCCTCCGCCCCAGCAAGGTCGGCCTCGGAGCGCCCCGCTCCGGCCACCTCGAGCTGCCTCGCAGCCGCGCGCGCCTCGTGCCCTCTCTTGGGCGCCTCCCTCGTCGGAGGCGGCTTCTTCGTGGCTGTGCCAGGGCTGAACCTAAACGGCGTTTTGCGTTTTCGTTTTCTTTTCGTGTCTTCAATCCGCCTTTGCCGCAAAACGAAGTCGAAACGACAACGGCCCACGAGATCGCCACAACACCGTTCAGGTCCAGCCCTGGTCTGTGCCCTCTTGTCCGCGGCCCCCGGGGGGAGAACTGTGAGGGGGACGCGAGGGGCGAAGCGACAGCGAGACGGCGAGGAGGGAGGCACCGGCTCTCTCGGCGGACTCGGACCCACCTCGCACGCCGGGCCCCCGTGGCCACCTGCCCCACCTGCAGGTGGACAGGGCCCGGGCAGCGGAAGGGGGGAGGCCCCGGGGGGGGGAGGAGGTGCAGAGGGAGGAGGCACCCGAGGGAGGGACGAGAGGGGGGGCGCCAAGGGGGGCAGGGAGGAGGAGAGGGGGGGCGGAGGGGGGGGCTGGGAGGGGGGGGTGCAGCTGGGGAAGAGATACTGGCACAAACGTGAACTTCCAGAGGTCCGCGCGGATCTCTTAGATCAGCGCGCGCGCCAGTGGCTGCGTTGGAGGCGCTGCCAGAGGGGTCCAGCGCCCATCCAAAAGATCAGCGTGGACCTCCGACATAGTTTGCCCATGGCATTCTTAATCTCCTAAGGTAAAATAGAAGGGAAGCGAAGTGAGGAAGGAAGCCAAAGAAACTAATATGAAAATGTCAGGGGTCTCTACGCGGCCGCCGGCAAGCAAAGACGCATGCGCAATGCATGTGGACGATATAATTCAATAATTGATAGTGCTGCTGTAGATGGACTGAGAGAGAACATGATCGACCCACGAACCCGGAAAGGAATATAGAAATGTAAGGCATGGCGACGTTTCAAAGACACCTGAGTGGGCGACGGGCAAATGCAATGCTGAATGTATCGATCTTGATGTACTGTGCCGAGGGCTGTGCTGTGCTACCCCGTGCTGAACTGCGATGTGCCATGCCGCGAGTGTGCTCTATATAGCGTTGTGGATCAAGTCCTCCCTGACATCCGAGTCCTGACCGAACTGATCTGGATCTTAAGCTCGAGTTGCCTGAGCAGATGGTAGCTGCCCCAGAACTAACCAACAGAGGGGACATGCCAGGAGGACGCGCCGCGGAACGTCCCAAGGGACGCGCCAGGCGACGTGCCAGGTGACGTGCCATGGGCACGCACCGCAGGACGTGCCAAGGGGACGCGCTACGGAACGTGCCAAGGACGTGCCGCGGGACGTGCCAGGGGACGCGCCGCGCGAAGTGCCAGGTGGACTCACCACGGAACGCACCAAGGAACGTGCCAAGGTGCAATGTTGAGTGTATCGATCTTGATGGACAATGCCGACGGCTGTGCTGTGCTGGGCCGTGCTGAACTGCGATGTGCCATGCCGCGACCGTGCTCTATATATATATATATAGCGTTGTGGATCGAGTCCTCTTTGCGTCCGAGTCCTGACCGAACTGATCTGGATCTTAAGCTCAAGCTGCCTGGGCAGATGGTAGCTGTCCAAGAACTAATCGACAGGGGGACATGCCAGGAGGACGCGCCGCGGAACGTCCCAAGGGATGCACCAGGCGACGTGCCAGGGGACGTGCCATGAGCACGCACCGCGGGACGTCCCAAGGGGACGCGCTACGGAACGTGCCAATGGACGTGCACCGCGCGATGTGCCGCTCCGCGGAACGTGCCAAGCAACATGCCAGGCTGCAATGCTAAGGGTATCGATATGAATGTACCGTGCCGAGGGCTGTGCTGTGCCTGGGCGAACTGGATACGTGAAAACACGCGTTTCGCTCAAGACGTTCTCAGCACATCCTCATGCTAGACATCCGCCTGGGCAACCTGGACACGTGCAAACAAGCGTTTCGATCGAGACTTCCTCGACACATCCTCATGCTAGACGTCCGCCTGGGCGACCTGGAAACGTGAAACCAAGCCTCTGGTTCGAGACATCCTCAACAAAGCCTCATGCTAGACATCTGTCTGGGCAACCTGGAGGCGTGACACCAAGCGTCTCGCTCGAAACATCCTCAAGACCTGGGCACGTGAAAACAAGCATTTCACTTGAGAGATCCTCAGAATTCGGGTCCCCAGGAGAGGACAATCTATAACACAAAACAAGCGTTTCGCTCGAGACATCCTCAACAAATCCTGAAAAACAAGCGTTTCGCTAGGGACATCCTCAATTTTTAATTCGCCGGCCCTACGCGACCTCGTTATTTATCGCAAAAGAAATTCGCCGGCCCTACAGCCGTCAAAACCGGGGGGAAACCAACTAAAAGAGAACCCTGGGCTCAGGCCCTTTCCGGGAAAAATATATTGGGGACACCAAGCGTTACCAGTTACCGTCAACGCAAGTGGGCATGAGTTACGAGCAGACAGGACTCAAGCACTTGTTCATCCACCATGAGAGCTTCACGGACTCACTGAAGATCTTCATTGACCCAGCGCTGAAAGACAAGACGGAGAAGGAGTGCGACAGCATGCAGCAGCACGACCCGAGAAACGCTTTATGCAGCTTGCTGTGGCCCTGCCGGACACGAGAGGACACATGTTGTGACGTGTCAGTTGCGGCAGCACGTTCGAACGGCCAGCGTCGGCCACCTCAAGCAAGGGAACCTCATCATCGATCGTGCCCTGCCAGAGAAACAAGAAGATGGCTGGCCTTCACTTCGCCCGCTCAATCATCCAACGATGTTGGCTTCTGTTGGCAATGCTAGTCGCCGTGGTGCCAAAAAAACATAATCACAGGAAGCCACCGCCATTTGCTTGATGGAGGACCACATGAATCATCCGAGTAAGGGGGCACGAACGATCTTACATGATTTTGGCGCGCGCGTGGCCGGAGTAGGGACGGCGACGCTGGGAGGCACGCTGGGAGGGCACGCTGAGAGGGCACGCTGGGAGGGCGCGCTGGGGGGGCGGGCACGCCGGGAGGGCACGCCGGGAGGGCACGCCGGGAGGGCAAGCTGGGAGGGCAAACCGGGAGGGCACGCCAGGAGGGCACGCTGGGAGGGCGCTGGGAAGGCGCGCTGGGATGGCGCACCGGGGAGGCGGACTGTCTGAAGAACCGTTTGATCGTTGCTCTGATTCCCCCCTTTCCCTCCCTCCTGACCACCTCGCGCTCATTCGCTCTGGCGGGAAGTAGGCGGTGAAAACCAGATTGTACGAGAGCAGAATGCCATGTCTCAATGGTGTTCAATCTGATTTTCTGATTTTAGGGCACCCACGTCTTTTCGATATCATGAATGTTTACAGGCTTCAGCTTGCATTCGGAAAACTGGCACCGAACTAGAATCGGGGGCGGCCAGGAGGGGGGCGTCAAAGAGGGGGGGGGGCGCAACTCCTGGCGGGCCGCACGTGCGCGGTCCAGGGGGGGGGGCCCGGGGACGCATTGAAATAAGAAGACGCGCCATGAAATCTGGGGAGATATCATGGCCCCCGCCATGTTATCCCCCCCCCCTAGTCTTAAGTTGGGCCTGTCCCCCTACAGGGGGATTTTGGACGAAAAATCGAACAAAAATACCCCCAAACTGTTCAAAAATGGTGACAAACATCGTCCCTGTTTTTTTGTGACTATGTTTGAACATTCCCCTGTAGAGGGACACGCCCGACTTCACCCTAGTCATCACCCCGGGCTCTGCTGCCCCCGATAGAATGCAGGTCTGCTGGGAGGTGGTCCGAGTGGGAGGGCGGGTGGACATGCACTGCAGGGCTGAACCTAAACGGCGTTTTCCGTTTTCGTTTTGTTTTCGTCTTCCCTCGTTTTGTCCTCAATCCGCCTTTAACGCAGAGCGAAATCGAAACGAAAACGGCCCACGAAATCGCCAAAACACTGTTTAGGTCCACCCCTGATGCACTGCCCCTGGGCGCCTGGCCGCATCGAGGTTCCGCGGTGCGGACTGTTGTCGCGTTGCTGTTGCTTCGGTGTTGTGATTACGTTATTGTTGTCGCTGTTGTTGTTGCTGCTATTGTTGTTGCTGCTGTTGTTGTTGCTGTTGTTTGTGTTGTTGTCGTCGTCCTGGCCCACGAGATGCCCGCGACCCAGCCCACGACCCACCCACATTGCCTTGACGAAGATTCGGCGCCTGCGGCGGGCTTCTTAAAGGCCTCGCAGACTGCCGACAACTCCGCCGCCCCCTCGTTTTTATCCGCAACTGCGGCGTGCTACGTACTTGGTCACATCAGTGCGTAGATTCGCAACACAGAGAGCAGCAGAGATATACGTGGGTTTTCAGTCTGTATTCGCATCGGGGCCGGAGGACAAACATCTCGCATCCCCGCTGGGCCCAAGGGAAGAGGGAGGAAAGAGGAGGGGAGAGGGGAGGAGGAGGAGGAGGAGGAGGAGGAGGAGGAGGAGGAGGAGGAGGAGGAGGGAGGAGGAGGAGGAAGAGTTGGAGGAGGCAGCGGAGGAGGAGGAAAGAGGAGGAGGAGGAAAGAGGAGGAGGAGGCGGCTGAGGAGAGGGTTGAGGGGGGAAAAAGGCGAAGAGAAGAGGAGGAGGGGGACAGGAGGAGGAGGGGGAGGAGAAAGAGGAGGAGGAGAGGAGGAGGGGGCGGAGGAGGAGGAGGAGGAGGAGATGAGGAGGGGGAGGAGGAGGACGAGGAGGAGGAGGAGGAGGAGGAAGGAGGAGGAGGAGGAAAGAGGAGGAGGAGGAGGAGGAGGAGGAAAGAGGAGGAGGAGGCGGCCGAGGAGGAGGAGAGGGAGGGGGGAAAAAGGCGAGGAGAGGAGGAGGAGGAGGAGGAGGAGGAGGAGGAGGAGGAGGAGGAGGAGGAGAGGAGGAGGAGGAGGAGGGGAGGAGGAGGGGGGAGGAGGGGCGAGGAGGAGGAGGAGGGCGAGGAGGAGGAGGGAGGAGGGAGGAGGGAGAGGAGGAGGAGGATAGGAGGAGGAGAGGGGCGAGGAGGGAGTAGGGGCGAGGAAGTGGGAGGAAGGGCGTCTGGGGCCCGGGCCGCCCGCCGGACCCGCGCGGCGCAGGCCCCGGGCCGCGGCGCCTCGCGGAGAGCCGCCGCAGGGCTCGCGTCCGCGACCGACAGCAGCGACACCGAGGAGGCGCCGGGGCGCTTGCGCGCCGCGCGGTCGCCTCGGCGCCCCAGGGGGGGAACGCACAGGCAATCCTGGATGCAGAAACTTCGGCGGCGAGCGACAGCGAGGAGGAGGAGGAGGAGGAGGAGGAGGAGGAGGAAGACCTCCAACCTTGCTGTCGCTCGCCGCCGAGTTTCTGCATCCAGGATGGGGATGTCTGTGCGCCCAGGGGGGGGGGGCACAGACATCCTGAATGAAGAACTTCGGCGGCGAGCGAAAGCAAGGCTGGAGGTCTCCTCCTCCTCCTCCTCCTCCTCCTCCTCCTCCTCCTCCTCCTCCTCCTCCTGCTGGGGGCACAGGCATCCTGGATGAAGAAACGCGGCGGCGAGCGACAGCAAGGCTGGACGTATTCCTCCTCCTCCTCCTCCTCTTCCTCCTCGCTGTTGCTCGCCACAGAGTTTCTGCATCCAGGATGTCTGTGCGCCCAGGGGGGGGGGGCAAAGACATCCTGGGTAAAGAAACTCGGCGGCTAGCGAGGGGGTTCCAGTTCGAGTTCGAGGTTGGAGGTTTTCGGACGTGTGCGTCGGTTCTCGGCGGTGCTTCAGCCGCGGGATGCTTGCCAGCAGCTGCGCCTCGCCGAGGGCGTTCCGGGGGCGCTCGGATCGTCCCGAACGGACGCTGGAGGCCCGAGCTATGACCCAAAAACCAAACTCCGCGGCGAGCGAGGAGGGGAAGTGAGAAGGAGAAGGCCTTCTCAGGAGGCGGCGGGGCTTCTCGGGAGGGCCCCCGCACCTTCCAAGAAGTGTTTGCTTGTCTTCAGGGGAGGCTTAGGTTACTTCTCAGGAGGCTGGGGGACTTCTCACTCTCACTTCCCCCCCTCGCTCGCCGCCGAGAAACGGTGCGCGCTCAAACCGAAAGGGAGGGGGGATAGGGAAGCCCCCTCCATTTCCTCGTCCTCCTGGGTCGGTCGGTCTGACGGCGGACAGTCGGAGCCAACACGGAGAGAGCACGGCGAGAAGGAGCACAGGGTGAAGAACAAGGCAGCAGCAGCAGCAGCAGCAGCAGCAGCAGCAGCAGCAGCAGCAGGCCGCGAGAAGACATGAGCAACTGTCGGCGAGAAGTGCGCGGAGCCGGGCGGGCGACGCGGCGTGTGAGACATTCGGCTGTCGCCATCTCCCTTTCGACCGGAATGGCGTTCGAGGGGAGGTGGGGGCGACGAGCTTGTCAACGCACCCACCCCTGGGCCTCCAAAGCATCCAACAATCCCCAAGGCGGCCCCATGGCGCCATGTCAGAACGCCGAGACAGTCCAAGAGACCATCGAGACTGCGCAGGGTAGTCCCGACGACGGACCCAGAGGGCTTCAAGACGACCCACGAAGCGCTCAAGACAATCTAAGAGTCCTTCAGGAGGACCGCCGAGAGGGCCCAACGAAGCAAAAATCGTGCCATTCCCATAAAGCAACGTGCACTCGACATACTCGCCTGCTTCGTCTTCACAGTGTCCACGAGTGCCGCAAAGATCGTCCCAAGACGGCCCATGAGGCCCCCAAGAATGCCCTGAGACTACCTAAGAGGGGCCCCAGACAACCACTGGTGCCTCGGAGACGGCCCAACAGGGCCCCAAGCGGCGCCCAAGCGGCGCCCAAGAGGGGCTATATGAACTGACATGCCGAGGCATTTACCTTCCCCCAAGATGGCCCCGAATGCGCCCCAGAGATCTCCGAGGCGCTTTCAAGAGGCCCCCAGGAGGCCTCCCAAAGGCCCCCTATCAGGCCCCAACGAAGCCACCCAAAACCATCCAAAACGCCCCTGCCAGGCATCCGGAGAGACTGTCTATAATTCATCCAACAAGATACTTCCACCATCGTGGCAGGCTCTCGAGAAGTGGAAGCGGGGTGCATGGTGCGCGCGGAGGAGGAGGGGGAGGTGGGCGAGGACAGACTGGGCGGCGTGGGTTGCCCCACGACTGGCCAACGGAGCAGGGGGCGCCGACGATACGACGTCGGCGAGGACGCCGACGCCGTCGACGGCTCGCCGCCGCCGGCGCTCGGGAGGCGTGCCGAGGACGCTGCCCCCAGGGGCGAGGACACCCGACGGCGTGGATTACCCTACGACGGGCCGACGGAGAAGGAGGGCTCCTAAGTTCGCGCTTCGCGCTGCGCGAAGCGCGAAGCGCGAATAACTTCGCGCTCTCGCGCCGCCCCCCAAGGGGGAGAAGAGGAGGACGAGGAGGAGGGGGAGAAGGAACGAGGACCGCGAAGCGCGAAGCGCGAATAACTTCGCGCCCTCGTGGGAGCCCTTGGAAAAGGAGGGCGGGGGGGCTCGAGGAGACATGACGTTGGGCCAGCTGCTGTCGTCTCGCCGCGGTGGCGCGGAGGCGGGCTGCGGCAACCACGGGGCAAGTGGACGGACGTCCGGGGATCCTGCATAAGGCACGGCCTGATGTGGAGCGAGCTCTCAAAATAATGGGAGGTCGAATTAGGGCGAACGAGGGGGGTGAAGCGGAGGATCATCGTCGTCGTCGTCGTCGTCCTCGTCCTCGTCGTCCTCGTCCTCGTCCTCGTCGTCGTTGTCGTCGTCGTCGTCGTCGGCGTCGGCGTCGCCTTCGTCGTCGTCGTCGTCGTCGTCGTCGTCGTCGTCGTCTTCGTCGTCGTCGTCACCGTCATCGTCGACACCGTCGTTGTCGTCGAGGGCTGCCGGCGCTTTGGAGGCAGCCAGGGGGTCTGAGCTGGATGGGCCCCGAGAAACTCTGATCCGCTCAAAATCGGTCCACGGACCCCGCTCAGGGGTCCATCTGGTGCAATTTTCCTGGGCCCATCAGGGGTCTGAACTGGATGGGTCCCGAGAAAATCTGCCCGGAAGGGGGTTTGAAGGCAAATCCGCTCAAAATCGGTCCACGGACTACGCTCAGGGGTCCACCTGGTGCGATTTTTCCTCTCGCGTTCCGTTTCTGACGGTCCCGGGGCCCGAAAGACGGCCCCGGAAACCGAGAGCGGCAAAGAGAACTTTCTGAAACCCAGAACCTCGAACCTCGCCCCCCACAGTCGGGCCGCTGAAGGGAGGAGCACTAACTGAGCTACGAAAGCCACTTCTTGGCCCTACAGGCGCATCCGTGTCCGAGGAGGGCAAGAGGAACAGCTATGGAGGAACCTGAGGAAGAGTGAGCCCCTTGGGAATCCAAATTGTTCCTTATTTCAGCGTCTTGACTGTAAGACGAAAGCCAGGACGAGGATGAGATCGGGCGAGACTTGGCGCTCGGCTTGTCCTGCCGCTGGGCTGCCGCCTTTCCCCCTCCG